AATATAAAATTAAGAGTGAATAAGGTTAATTAAGAGTCAAAGTTGAGGAGTGTGAATTCCCCCACAAAGGTGGCTAATACAATCTTCATCCATTGTACAAAAATCGATAGAATGTGATTCATGAGTGCAAGAATTTGATTCCCTCTTAACAAGTGATATATCCCTAAATAGTTTACTTATATTATATCGATTTCACATCCAAATATGATATGTTTTTATTATATTCCATCCATGTATCTAGCCAATAACGAATTTAAAGTATAATTAACGAATTTTTGTGAATTTATAAATTAAATTCACTAATTATTTTTAAATATTGATTGTGAAGATTAATTAGCTATATAAATTTCAAACTTTAAATCTTGAATGTTTTCACATCTGGTTATCGTCCAAAGAAGACCTTACTAGCTAGCTACAAAATCAATAATTTCTAGTTGTGAACGCATATTCATGATACTTGATGTCAATTAATAATTCTCCTACATCTCCTTACTGAGCCAACAAACAATTATTTATATTCGATATTTATAAAATTAAATTAAAAAAATTCCTTTAACAATTGTAAATTTAAATATAAAATTCATCACTTAAATATAGTAGTTAATAATAATTAAATGGGCATAATAAAAAAATTTGTATTTATTAACTAATTTAATATAAATATTGATTCACGCAAATAAATATTATTTGTCATATAAGTACATTCACATCTAGTGGACGGTGAGATTGACAAAGTTTAAGAATTTCACGAAGGATATCCAAAAAATAGGAGGAAAAAATTGTTGCTAGTGAGATTCAAACACATGAGCACTTAGGGTACTTTCAGAGCATTTAAAATCATTGAGCTACAACACTTTATTTTATGTTATTTAATCACTTCGTATTTATTTGATTTATATATACAATATTATTTTCCGATAAAATGCTTCCCTATTTAGCTTTATACCCTATCTAAAGTGATGATATGCTTCAGCCAACTAACATTTTTGTTAGTTCAAATCCAGCGTCATTCTCATTGTCATTCAATGGAATCTTATCTCATAAACTTGTTGGAACAAATCCTAGGAAAAAAATAAAATTAATAACTAAACAATCAAAATAGTTTTGAAAATCCAAGGATTGAAACTCGTTGAAGTGTGTAACCATCTCATCTAAAAAATTAACACATTGCAATATAATTTCAGAGTAGACAGAGATTTAGGGATGAAATCTCACTGTCACTCATATAAATTTTTTTTCACATGTTTGATCCATGAAAAAACACGTAAGGAGGCGTGTTGAGAGGATTATTTAAGATTCTTTCCCTTAAGGCTTAAACTACCGACGTGAGACTCTTTCGCGCTTTAAAACACCATAGCATTCTATGACTACTTAATTCAGAAAGTGATTAAGGTGTGTGGTATCTAAATCATACTATTTTCATCGATTTTTAATTGTCATAGTTTTCCTTTTTAGAGTCAAACTATAAAAATTTTGACTAATATTTTATGATGTATTTTTTCATCATATTGATATGCAAAAAAATTACAATTTATAGTACATTTCGTATAGAATTTGAATATCTAAATTTTTTGTTTAAAATATCGAATCACTGTAATCTAATTTAACTTTGAAAATTAGTCAAATTGACTTTTAAAAAGCGTAACATGACAAATAAAAGCGGACAAAAGAAGTATGTTCGAAAAATCGTATGGTATTTTACTAAAAGTAGGCTGACAAGTGGATTTGACTAATGGTTATAGTGGTTGAATGCCATTAATTATTTTATTTTAATAATTGAAAAAAATTCGAGTGCGAATGATATACAAGTTCAAAATTAAGTAGATAATGATTTTTTCTTACCTTTCTTTACTTAAATATTGTATCTTAGAATTCAAATTCATGACGTGGGCTTAATTTCAACTCAAAACTTGACCGTATTAAATATATATATAATTATAAGCAAAGTTCACTTTGTTTAGAAGCCATAAGAACATTGTTGTAATTTGTGGTAAGGGCTTTGAAGAACATTGATGTTGTAAAAAATATTGGCAAAGTTTGATTAATTGATTTAATCAGAGTTTATCAAACTGACTGCTGATTTTTAATATAAAAAAAAATTCGAAAAGATTTTTCAGCCAGAAAACTAAATTGAACATGATTGTAAGATTTCTCATCATAAAAATTAGATGTCAGGACCTATTGTTGGTGGAAGGTGGCAGATATTTCCTGGAAATAGTAGAGGTGCGCGAAAGCTGGTCCAAACACCATGATCATAAAAATAAATAAATTAGATGTCAATATAACTCTATAACTAATCATAGTGGATAGGAATAATTTTGTAATGTTAAATAAAAATTAAGAAGATACTAAATGCAAGTACTATACTTATAGTTTTTTGTGCCTTTAAACTAGATTTTTATGTATCATTATCACCAGCGTTTTAAAAATTAATGGAATCATGACTAACTTTAATTTACTAAAATTAGAAAATGTCTTAAGTTGCTTATCACCTTATAGTGGGAATATATTAGGTTCCCCTTAATATCTTACTTTAATGAAATCCACTGCTATCACTAGATAAGATACCCAATCTCTAATTTTTTGGAAAATTTACGAATATTATAGTTCGATCAACTAGTTTGTTAATATGATCGAAATATATATAACATCTAACAATTAGTTGAAAACTTTATACTTCTAAAGTATACATCTTTATAACTTTGTTTTAAATAATCACAATTTACAAGGTTAGTGCGGTTGATTTGGTCGATTAACTGTTTGCTTTTTAGGTGCAAATGTTAATGATTAGTGAGACAAAAGGATATAAATTAGATTAATTGTTGAGTGGAAATCTTCAAGATCTTATTGTAAAGATGAAGCTTTCGAAAAATAAGATAATATTTTCTCATTTATCTCATGTGATAATTCAATTTCCTTGATACACTGAAAACACTCTTCCACTTGACTAACTCAACTTAAATACACCATATACTTCTATATGTGTGTCACTTTATTTTTGATTCATCATTGGTGATAGATGAATCAAAAAAGATCATTCAACTTATTCTTTAGATTGAAATTTGTCTTTTAAAGTAACTAAATTAAAATACTTTTAAAACATAGGTATAAAAAGAACATATTTCATTTAATTTAGTCATGACATGCTTGCATAACTAGCTATTTCAATTTTCTTTGCTTTTTTATTGTTCTAAGCAAGATTCAACTTCTAGTAATCTTTATTTGTCATATCAAGAATCAAATCGCAGCCAATCCATATTCATGTCTAGTACATGACTTGTTTGGTAATTGATTAGAAGCTAAATTATTAGTAATATATTACATTTTGGATATGTAATATCATATTTGATAGCATTCTTTTGTTATATATATATATATATATATATATATATATGAGGTGGAGGGTGCTTACCACTTGAGCAGATATAACCTTCTAGCATAGGATAGGTGCTTTGCAGTCCAGGAGTTGATTCTTCCAACCATTTTCTCAAGTATAAGTTGACACTGAACAATGAATATTCTTTTACTACTCAAAAGGTACTCCCAGGATATTCATTGTCTAGTGTCAACCTATACTTGTCCAGGATAACTTGTTCCCAACCAAACTCGTTCCATCTTCTATCATGTATAAGAACAATATACATTTCCTCATAACTTATACAAACTAATTACATAAGTTTCTAAATTGCAAATCAGACAACGTATTACGTATGTTGAATTTCACACACACACACACACACATATATATATATATATATATATATGTGTGTGTGTGTGTGTGTGAAATTCAACATACGTAATACGTTGTCTGATTTGCAATTTAGAAACTTATGTAATTAGTTTGTATAAGTTATGAGGAAATGTATATTGTTCTTATACATGATAGAAGATGGAACGAGTTTGGTTGGGAACAAGTTATCCTGGACAAGTATAGGTTGACACTAGACAATGAATATCCTGGGAGTACCTTTTGAGTAGTAAAAGAATATTCATTGTTCAGTGTCAACTTATACTTGAGAAAATGGTTGGAAGAATCAACTCCTGGACTGCAAAGCACCTATCCTATGCTAGAAGGTTATATCTGCTCAAGTGGTAAGCACCCTCCACCTCAAACCGAATCACCAACGGAGGAAAAAGGTGGAAGCTTATAGGGAGGGGTTAAAGAAAAAAACAAAGTGTGATGAACTATCAATAAGGTGATACTGAAATAGATAGAAACAACATACCTGTAGAAAATTTCTATGGTCAAGAGAGGTGTTGAGATATCAAGAAAGGCTTTGTTAGCATGGGGCAACATTTGGTTGTCCCAGGATTACAGGAGGGTTCAATGTGTTGGAGCCATAGGCAAGCTGTTATGGAACCTACGCAAGGAGGAGAATAAACACGAGTATAGTGGGTAAATGAGTGCTATGGGAAGAGGGGCCTAAAACCGAAGCTAAAGCAATGCAAGCATCTTGGATGGTTCAGAAGATCATCAAAACAAAGATTATACATTGAAGATTATAATCTTTGTTTTGATGATCTTTGTTCACAGTATGTGGACGCGGAAGAAGTATGCTAAATGCAGTGCTATATTACCAGTCAACAAATCACCAATGAGTTATGCAACTCAGTATTCAGTTGGTTTTGAACTAAACAACCTCAGCATTAGACAATAAAAATTGAAATAATCATTTCAGTACTCAAACAATCAAATTGAAGAACTTCCTAGTCAACAAACAACATATAAACTTCAAGCAGAGAATAACATGAAGTCATCTGGAAGCAAACTGTTATATATTGCTACTGACTTAGGTCCCAAATCTCAAATCTTCATCTCTATTCCACACAGGAAAGCCTGAATGTGGGATACCATTCACTGAATGGAAGGTGCACAACAAGCTAAAATTACTGGAAATAATAGTAGAAGATACGAAAGTAGCAAATTATTATCGCCCCTCCTCACACCCTTGAGGGAGAGGCGAGGATAGTAATATTCTGCGGGCAATCATAAGCAATTGTAAGATCAAACTCATAATAAGTTGTATATCATTTTGAATCCTAAAAAAGCTTCACATCTTCAGACTTCACGTATAGTTCTTAATAGTTTCCGATGTTGATTTAATCAGTAAATAGTTAAAGATGCAAAAATATACACCTATGAACAAGGATGATTTATATATTCTCAACCAAACCTGAGCTTGTCTACATCAGAACTCTTAATTGTCTGGTTGAAGCTCATAACTCCCATCGTTTTGCAAACTCAATTCAAACACTGGAGAATCTGAATCATCAAACATGTCTACCAGATTAAACCTTCCATGCTCTCCATCACTATCAACTGGGATATGACCCTTATTCTTTACTCTAGACATCCCAGCTTCCGCTGAATTAAATTTTTCAGCATGGACAGACAACTTCCTTTGATTTGTGCTCTTCCTGAACTTATTCTGCATGCCCGTGCGATTGTTGCCATCTCTTGACACTTTATTAGAAACTAAACCCTCATTTCCTTCTCTATTGGATCCACTTCTTAGTTTTGTTGAATTTTTCTGCTCATTTCTATAGCTCTTCATTCTCACCTTCTTATCACTTTGTACCTCTTTCTTTGCTAACTCCGCCTGTATTTGAGCATGAACTAATCTATCACTTCCACTTTCAGGATCTGAACCCAAATTTGAGGACCCATCAGAACCACGATCAGCATTCTCAACGTTTCCATAGGGTTTAATGCTATGAACAACCCCCTTAGGGAAAAATCTTGCTGAGGGTAATCCATCTTCAGGCTTGAACAATTCTGGCCCATCTTTGTCAGACCACATATCAAACCCTCCAGGCTTTTGAAAACGATCTGCCAAGACTCTCAAATGCTCATCAGCACTCACAGAGAATAAAGTAGGTGCCTTTTCAACCACTTCCCAAGGCCTCTCAAGTTCAGAGACAGCAGCTTTCAGCTCAGCCCGCTTCCTCATCTCATAAATTTGGCGTTCCCGAGCCAATCGGGCCTTAAGGAGCTGCTTAGACTTCTTAGCTTGCATACGCTTCCACTGCCACTTTGAGACACCTCCGGGATATGTTCTTGGACCACCACCCATCCTAATTATTAACTTTCTGTAAGGAACATTGGTTATTGTGGTGGTGGTGGTTACATTAAGGGAAGAGAACTTGGTGGAGAGGAAGAGTAGGGATTCCCCTGAAATTGTCTTGGACGAAGATACACTCTTATGAGGTGCTGAAACTAAGAATGATGAGCTGAGGAGAGACATTTTCTTCCTGTAAACACAAGATCCAAAACTTCATAACGGAACAAAATTTAGAATGTCGAAAATGATACACATTGTATCATTTGTTTAGGAATCTAAACTAATTTCTCCACCTTGACTTGGCCTTGTAAAGATTTACTTTGGCTCAAATGAACTGGAATTCATAGTAAACAACATTTATTTCTTTATCATTAACTTCTTCTCCCAGTAATTACATAAGTAAGATGTTTTTCCATCGCCAAGATCAGTTCACCCCACTTAGAACTACCCTAAGTTGAGTAACTATCTGAGATATTATTGTAACCGGATAAACTACCTAAGTTGAGTAATCATCTGAGATATTATCTTCATCTATGTATTAACATCCAACAAACAACTATAAGTTTCAATCTCAGATTATTTGCATCAGTTATATAAATTGTACCAATTAACACAAAGCAAAAGGGCTTTTTTTTTTAATCTTAATTTTGTTTTTTTTCTCATATCTTCATTGTTTTTTTTAAACTAGGACATTAATTAAACAGGAAAAAATCAGAGAAACATTCCAGATATAAAAAAGTAAACAGATTATGAGAGAAAAATTTGGGAAATTCACAAATTAGCTGTCAAAGGCGCAGAGACAAAAGGGAGGACAAAGCGAATTAAGAAAGAGTGAAATTAATCTCACCTGAACTTATGTGAATCGAATAGAGCTTCAAAGCAGTCGATTCGCCGTTCAACTGAAATTATTCCGGCGTCTTCTGTACACACTCATCTATCTCTTTTCATATGGCAATATGTGCATTTTGCGAATATGCAGATTTATATTGATTGATAAACTCAATCAATAGCATCACATCAACAAGGTGCACCAGTGGTCTAGTGGTAGAATAGTACCCTGCCACGGTACAGACCCGGGTTCGATTCCCGGCTGGTGCAATACCATAATTTTTAGTATTTGTGTCAAGTTACCTATGGACCGCGGGCAATTTTTTAGTATTTGGGCCAAGTTTCACACGCTACTCGAGCACTTTAGTATTTGGGTCAAGTTACCTAAGTTTTCTCTTCCCTACGGCCTACGCAGCGCGATATTTTAGTATTTGTGTCAAGTTACCTATGGGACCTTACGTGGGCAATATTTTTAGTATTTGGGTCAAATTTCACACGCTACTCGAGCACTTTAGTATTTGGGTCAAGTTTCACACGCTACTCGAGCGCTTTCAAAAGTGTCTTTTTGAGCACTAATTAGAGTGTCTTTTTTGTTGTTGCTAAACTAGTATACTTTAGATCATGATCTTTAAGTTTTAACAATGTCAAATCTTAATGAAAATCACATGCATTTTTTTCAAGATATTTTTTCCCAATCAATAAAGTTTTTCTTTTTCGTTTGACACTTGGTCATCAATAATTTTAATCGTAACTTTTGTCAGTAAAAAATAATTTTTATTAACGATTACTCATTATTTATCCATTAATGTCAAAGACAGCAAAAAGTAATACAAATGCTAAACCAATGGTAAATAAAAAAGACAACTTTTCTGATACTATAAAAAAGAAAAAACATAAAAGCTTTGATACTTTTCTCAAAAAGTTTCATGAGTAATTTGAGGATAAACATTATCAGTTATTAACTTATAGTTAAAAATATTGTAAATTTTATTTTAGTTAAAATTGACGATTTCTTATAAAAAGTCAATACTGATAAGATCAAAACTAAAAACACATACATTAGTTGAGATGACCACAATTGACATAGTACACGAAGAAATATCTCTAAAACTAAATAAGTTTTTTTTTTTAAAAAACATTTGGAAAAAAAAAAAGACAAAAAAAGAAATGAAAAAAATAAATAAAAAATATTGGGATATTTTTGTATTTGTGCAAAATATTCCTATTTATAGTCAAATATTTTCCTTTAAACCCTAGCATCTTCTTCTCCTAAACCCTAAACTTCTTCTTCTCACAGTTCTCTCAAATCGCGGCTGCCATGGTACTTTCTCTCTCTCTTATAATTTTGCTTTCGAAGTTCATACTTTTGCTTAGTTTTATTGAAATTTGTCATCTTTTTGCTTGATTTTTCTGTTCTAATATACAATTAATTTTGATTTTTTTTCTTTATGTAATTGTAGGCAACAGAAACTGTGAACCCAAAAGCATACCCACTTGCTGATTCACAGCTTACAACGACTATAATGGATTTGGTTCAACAAGCTGCTAATTATAAGCAGCTTAAAAAGGGTGCTAATGAAGGTTATTGACTTTTTTACACTTCTTATTATTATGCTGCCAATCATTTTTGTATCTACCGCTTAATTGAGATTTAGAAAACTGAGTTAGTTTCGTTTCACCTCAAAGAAAACTTTTTTTTCTTTTTGGTGGTGGTGGTGGGGAATAAGAGCTAGAAAGATTGTTACTTGTATTATATGGTCTTTTGGTGAATAAGTTACTCATGTGTAATGCTTAACTAAAGATAGAGAGAACTGGGTTTGTTTTGTTTAAACCCCAAAAGAAGCTTTTTTTCATTTTTCTTGGGGATAAGAGCCAGAAAGATTGTTACAGTAGTATTTTGAAGGGTTATTATATGGTCTTTTGGTTAATACTAAGTTACTTTTATGTGTAGTGCTTAACTAAAGATACAGAAAACTGGGTTAGTTTTGTTTCACCCCAAAAGGAACTTTTTTTTTTTTTTTTCATTTTTCATGGAGATAAGAGTCATAAAGATTGTTACAGTAGTATTTTGAACTGGGTTTGGTTTCATTTCTCCCATGGAAAAAGAATTAGGCATTAACTGAAAGAGAACACTGTATCTTTGTTCTGTTTCAGCTACGAAGACACTTAACAGAGGAATTTCAGAATTTGTTGTCATGGCCGCAGATACTGAGCCCCTTGAAATCCTTCTTCACCTTCCACTCCTTGCCGAAGATAAGGTGATTTATTTTTCCTTTTTCCAGTGTAGTTATTGGCATTTTCAAGAGTTGTGTTTGTTACTCTTTTGTGCTATATTGTGTGAGGTTATATTGTTCTGATTTCGGACTATGGAAATTGGAAACCATGTGTATATTATATGCACTTTCCCCTTTATAAACTCATCATTTTGAAGAGCTGTACTAAACAAGAGTCTTGTCGCTATTTCCTGTTTCATTCTATGATTTGGCATGTAATATTTCTGTTCCTCTTGAAAACACATCTAAAGCAGCAAGACCAAGCCTGATTTGAGCATATTCTTCCAATGTCTTGGCATTTTCTATCAATTTTATTACATGGTGTCAAATGTTGCGAGTTTCCAATAGTGTCAAATCCCGATTAAAGGGGAAAGTTCTACCTACTAGGATTTTTTCCCTACCTAGGGCTTGGAAGCGAGATCTCTAGTTAAGAGTGGAGCATCGTATAACATTCTACCACAACCCTGGGTGGTAAACAAAGGAGAAATATTGTTAGAACTATATAGTTGCAAGGATGCCATTATCAGTATAAGGGCTATACAGACCTCTTTTACTCAAAAGTTGTTTATTTGTTGCTTTATTCAGTCTTATTATTTCCAATTGTTTCCTAGTTGCATATGCATGGTCTTAGTTATAGTTATTATAGAATTTTGTGGTCCTTGAACAACAATGTGAGAATTCATTCATGTCTTCCAACTTTCGGTACACTTTTCCTACACCAACCTTGCTCTGTTCTGGAACTGTATCATCCTTTGTTTGGTGCTCAATTAGCGTCTACAGCCTACCGTGTTCAAATAATCTTTGAATATAACAAGGGATTTTGGTTTCAAGTAATGAGTTCTAACTTTTTCCTTTCATCAATTCTTTCAGAATGTGCCCTATGTCTTTGTCCCTTCAAAGCAAGCTCTTGGCCGAGCATGTGGTGTTACCCGCCCCGTCATTGCTTGTTCAGTGACGAGCAATGAGGGAAGCCAGTTGAAATCTCAAATACAGCAACTAAAGGTAACATTCCAAATCTTTTATTCTTCGTCATATCAACAACCGTTTTCCCTCGTGTAAATACTCAAATCGTTGTTTCTCTTCTTATGCAGGATGCCATTGAGAAGCTCCTCATCTAAATGTTGAGCCTTTTGCAGCATGATGGGTCTCAACTTCACTTTTGAGGCTTGGACTGAAGTAGTTGCCGTCTTGTTGGCACTTTTTTTTTAATCCTTGTTTCCTTTTTGTTCTTGGATTTTACGATTAATGTTCTAAGAGTACCGATAGAAGCATGAAAATTTAATATCAGGTTTACGTTATAGTTAATCCTGAGTTTTATTATATCGTGTATCTATGTTTAATGTAATTCTAGTTTTGCTCTTATCATTTGGTTGGTGCAATGAAGGATCCTCTTTGCTTCCTCTTCTATATAATTTGTCAGCTGGTAGCTTTTAACTTTTTAGTTCAACCTATTAATCATGAATTAATCATCTAATTCTAATTTTAGGCTCAGTTCATTTCACCAAATTTTGGTATACTTGGTCTTGGTCCCAATGATTTTCTATTCAAAAGGTGAATTATAAGATGCATTATATATGTTTCTTTTGCTCCACATTTCTAGGATCATGTGGTCTTTTGTCTCATTGCTACTTAATTTACAATATCATCCTGCACTGAATAGGATTTGAAGTTTACGGATTTTGAATTTTGGACCAAAAGCTATTGAATTTTGTCGAATGTGTCGATAGGTGTGCGTGCACGTGCAACTAACAAACGCATCGTGCTGGTTTTAAAAATTGCAGGATCTTCAGCTGTTCATCACTTTGCCAGCAAATATCTCTGCTTAAAAATATATGCAATAAGTTTTATATGAAATAATGATGGTATCTTCAGTCTATTCTTTTTAATATACATAAAATGTTTCCCATTTAATGGACATCTTAGTTAGTCAAATCCATAAACAAAGGGTTTATTTCCTTGACTACAAATGTTGTAAATTGTTTGTTATTATCACACCATAGATTTCTTTGATACACTGTTTCAACACTAACAAAACAACAATCAAATTTGTGAAATGTTTTGACAAGGAATGAATCTACTGTTTGGAGTATATGTTCGACAAAATTTAATAATTTATGTCTAAATTATATATTAATCTTGATAAACTACATTCAATTAATATGTCTTGATTTTGGTTATAAAAAAAAATAATATGTCTTGATTCAGAACTCAGTAACTTAAAAGCGTTAAAATTCTGAATGCATAAATTACCCATCATATGGGATAGTAGTACATTGATAATGAGACATGAGAAATCAATTAGATTAGATTGTCATTTGGTCCATGTTTGGATATTCGTTTAGTGTTTGCAATGTTTTTCACTAACATGATGTCTATCAATTTATGTTTTTGGTCGAGGAAATGAACAATTTGCAAATATTCTTAGATTCTTGGTTCAATTATTATTGCTACTAATGTTGGATGTTTCCATTCTTAGATTATAAGTAACTCAACTTTTGTAATTTCATATTGGAAATTTGTTGAGAAAAAAAGTTTTAAAACCTCTAAAAATTTATCCGTATTCAAATGTTTACACTAAATTAATAGATACTCCCTGTGGGCAAATCTTACTGCATTTTGCTAGATTTCAACTGTCAAAATTATTAATTTTAACTATTAAACACAGCTGTTTGGACATCAATTGAAAAAAACCAACTAGGGAAGGCCACATCTCCCAACAAAAGATTCAAACTTTACTTTTATTGAGGTTTGTACCTTAGCTTCCATTAAACTAATCATACCTTTGAGTAATATTTCAAAGTAAAAACACTTAGGAGTATGGCCTAATAGTCAACTAAGCAGATGAAATTTAAAATCATGATTTAAATTTCTAACAGACAAAAAAAAAGGTGAAATGATTTTTCTAATTTATTTAAGTTTTAGCAAACAAAGTTACTCAACATCTATTTTAATAGACCATAATAAATATCAATCAAATAATTGAGATATTATCGATAGTTATGCTCTTATATTTCTTTACTGCTTCATACTAAGGTTTTTTTGTTCACGCATCGAAGAACCAATTAATTATAATAACACCTACAAAACAACCAAGCATCATATTGTAAAAATTGAATAGATTCGATCTACCGTAATTAATCATCATAACATAAAAAATATTTCAAAATAAATACATTACAAAGAAACATCATGTTCCCTTTATTAATTAAATCCAGTTGGTATTCCAAATATTCTATAGGTTCCACGTGCATCTTCTTTGATTTCCCCTACTTTGCAGACAATTTCATAACAACAATTAAATTGTACTTTAAAAAACATATAATCAAAGACAAATGGAACTTTCCATCCAACCACATGCTAATTATGAGATCTCTATATATAACTCATTAACACATTAAGTCCTAATCAACATTACCTCAAAGATCAACAAGCAAAAAAATCATCAAGATTTCAAGAATATATATACACAAACATGACTAAGTTTATTGTTATTTTCTTGATCTTAACACAATCAATTGTGTCATTAGTCATGGCTAATGAAAATGCAATAAATTTTACAAATTCCCCTTCTTCTAGTCCATCACCTTCAATTAGAAAAATTGGAAAACACAATCAAGAAGAAGAGAAGGGTATTAATAATAATAATATTATTATTCCCAAAGAAGTGTTAATTGGTTCTCCACATCAACAAGAGAGTATTAATGAAGTTGATCAAGGTGATCATGATGATGAAATCATGATTAATAAACATCATCATGATTCAATTGATAAGTCAATTTATGGAGGTGGAGTTATTCTTGGAGGATTAGCAACAACTTTCTTTGTGGCAATATTTTGTTACATAAGAGTAACTAGAAGGAAGAATAATGTGGAGCCTAGTTCCCCTAGTACCACATCATCAGAAGTATGATGGTTCAAATTTTCGGTATGAAAAAAATCTTGATAGGTAGTGTGTCCTTCTGAATGGAGCCTTACGCGGCATGAATTTGAAATTGTTGAACTTCAATGCAGATATCAAACACCGGGTGGAAACTAGAAAATTATTTCAACCCCATTTTGGTAGAAAATTGTAAAGATACCATTAGTCAAATCTGATTTTTGGAATTTTTGTTGTATAGAAATTAAATAAAAATACATATGTTTTACATATAGACTATTTACTTGATGATATCAATTAGTTGAAATTTTTTAGTCATGTTAGTGTGCTATTTTGCGTCCCATAGTTTCTTATATATAATCTTATGATTTTGTCATAGATTTATGTGTTTTTTGGTATTTTTATTTGTATAGTGTTAGGTTGATGAGATGTACTTAAATAAAATGATCAACAATAAAAATTTATATAATTAATTATGATTCAATCAATTGGAATAAAGAATTAGTAATTCTTATTGTCGTACATCTCATATTTGTTTAAAGCCACCAAAAAGAAATAAAAATAGATTTTTAAAAAATTAGAAACAAACTTAAGACCATCAGCCTTCAACTCCTATAACTTCACTCAGACAATCACAATATTACTACTATAACTTCATCTTGACAATCACAATATTATTGTAAATGATTTAGAGTTTAAGTAACATAATGTGCAATTATTCATTGTCGAGTTTTATTTGGGATAATTTAAAACTTGAAAGTGGTGGATTTGGGCTTGGCTGTTGGAGGCACTATCATTGGAGGTTTTGAGTATTGAAGAAGATGATATTAACACTATTGAAATATTAACCTATCTTTAAAATTTAGAAACAAATCTAACCATTTCACATCATTCAAGAATAAATTTGATCGTTTTTCCTTAAAAGAATAATTCATATATTGAAAAGTTTGCACTATTAGCAAATAAGAGAAATTTGAACTATTTCACAAAATTTAAGAGCTAAATTAAACCTTTTACTTTTTTTAAAAATGTATACATAAACCAACAAGATTAATGCTCTCGTCTTGATTTTTTTTCTTACTTCCATAATTAAATTATAAATATTTGATGAAAAACATAAATAAAATAGTACATAATTATATAAAAAGTGTATATAATTTATCAATTGAGTTGTTTATTTCTTCAGTTTTTTTTAAAATAAAATAAAAATCAAATTAAATAATATTAATTCTAAAAATATTGATTTTTACAGTATCATTATTAGTCTTTTTTTTATGGGAAAATTATATGAAATAACAAACTATTAATTCAAATTAAATGTTATAGCTATAGTTTATTTTAATTGTAATTCACAACAAACATCCCCTTTTTTTTTGCCATCTGATTCGATATATAATTAGCCATTTTCGGTATATAATTAGTCATTTTATACATTTCGGTATAAAATACGTTTTGTTTGTATAAAGCGAAAGAAAAGTGTATATACAAATACAAATACATATATTTTCATCATATACACTTATAATTATACAAATATAGATCTTATAATACAAATTATAATGTATAAATGAATTTACACAAAACTTAATAATTTGTATAAAATTGAATGCTTGTAGTGAATTATACAAATCAAAAGCTCCATAACAATCATAATTTTTTTTTTATGGAGCGCAATTATACAAATTATAGTTATAACATATAAATATGACTTTTATGTTTGCTATATGTGAAAATTGTTCTTTTTTTATTTCCCCCGATATCGAAAGCCGACATTGAGGTCCGACTAAATCCAGATCCTATGCAAAGCTCATTCGAAAATAGTGCTTCCATTAAAATTTTCTCCATTTACAAGGCTCGAACATGTCTATGATTAAGAGTGAATCACGTAAAACACCCCGTCTACGATGTTAAAAGAAGATACGCGAACTCGGTGCGGTAAATATAGATATTGCCTTTTCTTCTTCCACAAGCTGTTCATTTTCTAGTTCTAGAAAGAGACCAAAAAAACACAATCAGAGTTAGTGTTCTTCTCATCATCAATTCTATAACAATGGCTACGGAGCAATCTGTTATGGCGGTGATACGGGCAGCAAGACCCACTTTCCGTAATCCCCACGACAAGGTAGCGTTTGCTGTTCACGCTGCCTTCCTTGCTTCTGGCTTTGTTCTCCATGCCACTGGCCCTGCCGCTTCCACGGACGATGCTCTTTCTTCCTCCTCAACTGGTACGTTTATTTGCCCTATTATTGACTTTGAAGTTTCCCCTTTATTATGGAGTTTTTGGGGGTAGGGGTTTACCTGAGTACTGGGTTTTTGAAATTGTTGTGATTGGTAATGATTATGTCTTTATTTTTTCTTTTGATTAGTTCAATGCAGCTCCAGAATTTTGTGTCTTGTTTTTGTTTTGGGAATTTCTTCAGTTTATAGGATCAAACTTGGAAAGCTGAGTGCTTACTGATTGTTCTTATTTAAAAGCTCAAGGCTTAAAGAGATGTTATTTCCTGTTGCTAAAGACTGGAATCGATTACTT